GCACGTCTGATAGGTATAATTGGTTCCTGTAGTGGTTCACAAGTCTTCTCTGGGTCAATGAGATCCCAAAGGCTGTAAGACTCGGCCATGCTTTTGATCATAAAGATCCAGGGAAGCCAGTCATTCATGCTATGAAGAGTGACTTCTTCTGAGATCATCTTGGAATGGGTAGGCATGGTGGAAACAGAAGATAGTAGGTAAGTTGATGAAGATAATTGATAGATAGTTGAACAAGAAATGATTTTGGTAAGGTGCGGATTATGCCGGGCTCATAACTGTAAGGTGGTAATGGCATGTAAAGTGAAGAAAATGTAGATTGAAGTGTCTGATCCAGAGGAGACTGAAGGAGGACAGCATATATACCCGACTAAGTGCTTAGTCAGGTGCGATATATATGGTATACCCCACTGCCCCTCTCGTGGGTCAGGTTTGCAGAGCTTCGTACTTTCTCAATATCTTCAGGAGTAGGTAATGGTGCAGGAAGTGTATCCGTAGGAACACTATATGGTAGGACTAACTTGGACCACCCTGCATCTGAGCGAAACGCAGCTTTTGAATCCTCGCACGCTATTTTAGCCACCTTTTGACGATCATCGGTGCCGTAGTATTTCTTCAGGATCTCTGATTTATTGAACATATTTGTGGTAGGAGACAATAAGTGATAAGTCGCGTTAGATGACTTGAAGATTAATCAATAAGGATAGAAGTGATCGAGAGCGAAAAGCTTCCTCAATGGAATTAATACTCGAATGATTCTTTACAAAGGTTAAGATGAAAGTTCTTGATTCATTCACGATTCTTTTATAAGCCAATAGAATCAGATTTAAACTATTCGGATAGACAAAGAACGTATAGAATCGGATGAGGATATTACGCATTCAGCGAAAGTGTATAAAGGGCTCTTTGACTTAAAAGGCCCCTGCACAATCTCGAATTCCAATATTTCTTTCTCTTAATAAGTTAGCTGTTTTCATCATGGGGTCGAGACCCGGAACTGCTTGATGCTCAAAGATGGCAAAAGCAATTCAAATGATTTAATGTAAACAGACAGAGCGGTTCTAAGATTCGGAGGAGGTACTGCATCCACGCAATATTATAGATTATACTGTGTAGTAAAGGAGGCGACTTAATCTTAGGTAGGGGGTTCTGAATGCTTAGGCACTGTACATTACTCTGTGTGTGAAGCAGAGAATAGAGCTTAGATTCTAAGAGTGTGTAAGTTGAGAACACATATTGGCGAAAGAATGATATTCAATTTTTCTGTACCAAAAATTTCCTAATCCCATGGAATCTGGTCATGTCAGATAAACTGGATCTGCAGGTGCATGGAATCTGTCGCTTGATTTGCAACTACTGAGAGAGATATGGACTATATACTGAACAGTTGACAATGATACTGGGTCAGAAAGAGAACAGATAAAACACCACAGATCCGTGCTCTCGTCAGAGATCTGTTTTAATACGGTTTGACGCTCTGTCTCAAGCTACCGTTCCATACCATTGTTTTCACCACTGTTTTGAACCAGTAAGCATCCATTTACCCGGTAGCGAGCCTCACCATCTAACAGGTCAAGTCTGTCGTGGTCTGGTGCCTTTATTGCTTGGCTATTATGTCAAGAAGTTACCAACCGTGTTTTGAAATTTCCATTCAGCTTTCAGAAATGTAAGAATCAAGAATTCATACCCTCGAAGGTAGTATCAGGCAATTCTATTGTGTTAGATATCGGTTCACTAGTGATAGAGTTGAGGATTTAGCCGCTCCAGGCCCAGAAACTGTCAGATATAAGCCTTACTACCAAACTCGGCATTAGGGTCGGCCTTTTGCCGTAGTGGTATAATTTCACAGAAACCGGTCGTACCTTAAACGATTGTTGCCTGAAGCTCGGAGAGTCCGCCTTCATCTTAGTTTTGTTGAATTTCCTAGGTACCCTTATTAGAACGACTTCCAACTCATTCATGATAGTCCCATTCCCAAAAGCAATAGGCACCTTTCGCCGAATCGCCGTTCTCCTACCCAACATTGTAGCATTAATAGGTATAGGCCTAGGCGACTCCTAAATCAAGCTACCAGTTACCGAAAAAAAATTGGTACAGCTCGTCCTAGTGTTACGGCAGTATATATAGTTTGTTCATCCGTATCACACATTTATCATGGGATAGATATAATTCGTGTTTGGCATCAGTATGGGCAGACAAGCGAAGAAGAGCATGATTCTAACCCAAATTTTTGATATGGATGAGAAAGTTCTGGAAAATTAAGTATAGCGGTACAGCCGTTACTTAGCTCAGACAAGGAGCAACCTAAAGATTGTTAGACCGAGAGAAACACTATTCATTCAAAGCTTTAATTACTGTCAGACGGCTGATCTCCGATAGCCTTATGTTGGAGATTTTCAGAACTAAGTGTTCGGCTCCGAATTATAAGTTAAGTATTGTTAGATGGTGGAGCTGTTGAAATATTGGTGCTACTAGTGACCAGGGGCAATGTTGAAGTATGGGTCCTTTGGTGTATCTATCAACTATCTATCAGATGTCAGCCACGGAGTAGCATGGAGCACGAAAAAGTCTCTCTTCAACAATTATTTCTTTCGTCCTCAACTGACTCCACTATCTCAACAGATATCTCAACGACTCTCGGTAGCTCTTCAGTATATTAGAAATTCCTTTAGTGGATAGATAGAAAAATCAAGCGACTGCATTCAGTTACCCACAATCTCACAATTACCCATTTATGAATCCTTCACCTTTGGAGATTATGTTGGTTCCCCAGTAACTGCTAATGACTATAGCCTTACGTCTAGGCTTTAACATAGCTAGAATTTGAGCCCATGGACCTCAGACAATATTATCCGATGCAGTGCTCATCCCAACTTCACTGCAATTGACTTCGATGATTGTCCCTCGTATTGAAACTCTGAGAAGTACACAAAGGATTCTGTGGAACTTGGACAGCAATTGCAGGTGTGAGATAGCTAACATAGGTGGGTTGGCGTCGGAGCGCCATAGGGTTAGTCCTCAGATTGTAATTGAACATTCCTCACCAGGAGATGAAGCGTCAAAGGCGGTACTTACCAAATGAATCTGTCGTAATTTGCTCATTGCTTTCAAAAGTCTTCACCAACCAGACCAAATTTGTAAAGTGTATCCATATTGTTTCCGACTATTCCCAGTTGTCCTGTTCCCTCTATAGGAGGACAACACTGAAGAGTTCGGCCTTAGACATGCTATAAACTTCTGGGAGTAACTTAGTTCTAAATATCTTGCTACTTTCCCGTTTTAGCTTTTTACTTTATCTGAGCGGAAAGAAGGGCCGCATTCGGTGGTGAACGGTCGATTGGGTACTGAGGGAGTGGAGTTGCAAGGTTCGGCTCTAATGATTTGCTTCCGCATCTACTCCGTATCTTAAAATCTTCCCGTCTCCTTGCGCCGTTGCCCAGCTCTTGCCAAATTTGAAATCCGATGCCGCGCAAAGAGAGCGCGCATCCTTTGGGTTGACCCGGATTGCTTTAACATGCGTGACGTGCCCGTCTCGGTGCGGGCCTCGTTTAGGTAAGATCTCAGCTACTGGCTTGGCACGATTATAACCACTTGACTGATCGTGCCTCGCGATCTATCTTAATACTCTTTGCGTGACACTTTCGTAGCTAATGAACTAGTTATTTTTTTGACTCTGTCTTTGATTACATGTGAACGAGCCCTTATAGCAGGCTAGTAGATAAATATGATTGATGAGTAAGTCTTTTATGGGTTATATTCTATTAGATATAATTTGTAAAAGACGGCTGGGTCTTCAATATTCTTCCTTGGTCTAGTGGTCATGATTTCCGCTTGTCAAGGCCGTAGGCTTTACAAGCGCGGGAGACCGGGGTTCGATTCCCCGAGGGAGAGATTTCCATTTTAGTTTTTGCACCAATTCATTTTTGCTGCTTACCTACTAATTAATGCTTGCTATATGCGTCTCCCTTACCGATATATTCAATAGCGATACGGAAGTAATTACTAGAATTCCCGTGCTGTTCCAAAATGGGCTATTGAAGAGGATGATTTTCGATTGTCATGCTATACTCTAAGATCTATATATCACGAATTCCTTCTATTTCATCTCTAACAAACCTTACCGAGAATACCCCAGATGTCAGACGTAAAGGTGCTGAAAATGATCAAGATAATCGCTCGATTGTTTAATGACTGTACTAAAGAGCGTTTAAATACATGAGAACATGCAGGTTACAGCGTTTATACCTACTAGG